CAAGGAATGAAATAGGATATGGACTTTTAGTGAGAATTTCACAGTGAAAGAGACAATTAAGTTAATGTTGAAGACAAGAGACAGCAGAGCTGCTTACAGCACACACTGACAGCTCAAGACTAACCACATGCCACTTGCAGCAATCGTTTTGCTACCGCTACTCACCCGCAGAGTTTTAATCTGAAGCGTCCCCTGATCCTGGATGGATGTTCGAGGGTCTCGGCCCAGGAAGGTGAATCCTTCTTTTAACCAGCTGATGACAGGGAGAGGGTCGCCGGTTGCCTTGCACTTCAGCAAAGCTGTGCCATCCACTGCCAGTGTCTGATTGACTGGCCCCTGGAGGATGATGGGTGGAGGCCTATCTGTCAGGACTAAAACAGTGACACCCGCGTTGGCATCCACACCTTTAACAATCCTCTGCTGAAGTTATTCCTTTGCCTGATACAGCACTAATTTAAGCATTAATTTAAGTAAGCCTCTAAAAGGCTAAAAATATTATTTTTTTTAAGCCCATGCAATAACTGGCGTATTTGAAAAGCATTTTTGTAAGAATTTGATTTCACCACTGCGAGATAACACCTAGATATAAAAACTTCTGTTAGCAAAGGTCATTGGACTCATTTGATTAAGATAGAATAAAAAATTAAGATATTGATCCAGGAAAGAAGTGAGGTACACCTCTTACTTCTTCCAATTTAGGAAAGCACTTAAAGCACATGTTTAATGTCACATCAAAATGTGCTTAATTGCTTACCTGATTTAGGGCCTATATAAGAGAGCATCTGTTAAAGTTCAAAGTGAAACACCATAGCCATTCCAGCATGGGTACCAACCACATTCCCCATTCATGCTCAACTTGCAAGCTTCCATCAGCAAACAATAATACAAAACATTTTCATAATCTCAGTGATCTAAATGACTGTACTACTGTTTTCAGTGGAGAAAAGTTCAAACTCAACCAAGCCATTTAACAGCTTACTTATCAAACCGTTTCATTGCCTTTTAAAGCTGTGATCTCTTTTCATTTTTTCCCCTAATAACTTACATTTGCATGCTTGAATTACTGCTTAGAGGACGCTGAAACCAGTGAGCAAGTGCTCATTCCATGACCAGTGGGATAACTTGAAGATGGGATAAAATGCTCAAGTTCACTTTTCTTGAAAGAGCAATTCTCCACAAATAATTCTGCTGTTAATTAAACCTATTTTCTAAGCTATCTGTTAAACAGCAAAATAAAACTCTGTGTTTCTACAGAATGAGTTATACAAAAGGAATGTGAAATACCTGAATGCAACGAGGTTATGACTTCTGCAAACACCCAGCATAATGGAACCAAGAATTCATTTTTATACATTTACCTGCCACTGAGCAATTATACGATTGGTATTTAACACTGTAACAGGCAGGATTAGCTCAGAGTAAGTTAGGAAGCCTCCACTGATGTCAAGTGAGTTTGAATCATTCATTCTAGCTGAGAATCTGTTTCATTATAGTCCATACACAACATCTGACTCTAGCAGTGAAGTGAAAACATATTATTGTGAAGCAATATGGTTTCTGTTTTATTTGAGCTGCTTGAGATGCAAACCTCTAGAAACCTTCAACAGACCCAAAGCTTTCATTGTGCTGTCTAAGAAATTAAAAATACTAGGGAGATGTTAGTGGTATACTTTATAACTAAAATAACTGTAATGTTGCAAACATACTAGTTACTTTCTTTTGTTAACAAGATATACAAAGCATAAAATCATTAGTATTAGTAGCACCTTGGAGTCCCAGTTCACCACATCTATTGAAATTGAAAATAGAAAGCCAATACAGACTATTTATTAACACCAGAATGTGAAAGCTAATCTGGAAATTCTGAATTACTCGTTGAACTCAGAGAAAGGGCAGGAAAGGCTGTATTACAATGTCATGCATTTTCACCTTGATAGGAATTTTTTTCTCTCATTAAGGTTTGTTATGACTACACAGTTCAGCCATTTGACGAAATAAAAGTTACCTCAGCTCATATGTACTGTCAGCATAGCTGCAGCATGAGTATATTCAAATTAAAACTTAGCTGTGTCAGTTTTCCTTTAGATTTAATGTAAAGCAGCAAATACCATTTTTCTAAGTAGCTAAAAATCAAGGAAAAAAGAATACCTTCATTTGCTACCTATTCCATTGCAGTTATTTGCTGCGTCTAATTGCCCTTCCTATGTGTAGCAGTGTAGGTATTTTGAAAACCTACTGCATTACAGATATTGTTCTTTGGCACGTAATTAGTTTTTTTACAGCCCAAATGAGGAGCTCATAATCCTTTAAACAGCTCTGATCAATAGTGTAATTGAAAGTCTCCTGGCCAGAAGGAATCTTCATTTTCAAGGGTGTTATGGGTGAAAGACCACTACAGGTTTCCATGACACTAAGGCTAAAGGTTAAATGAACACTTAGGGTTTCCACTGATCTGTGAACGACTATATTGTCTTCACAACTACGACTTGTAAATCTTCTCTAAAACGTGTATATGTGCTTGTATTCCTACTACATAGGCCTCATTAGTAAGAATCCAAAACCGGGCTAGTGGTTTAAAATGATAGATCATAAGGATTCTGAAGAGCAGAGAGAGAATGAAAAATATCCACCAAAAGGATGGGGGTTTTGATAGTTCCTTTTACATCTTATTTTTATTTAGATTTTACATTATTTTCTCCTAGCAGGAAACTTTTATGTTCATTCCACAGAAACATTTTGTGTGGCTAAAATATATTTGCATAGAAAAAGAGGAGCTGATTTAAAAATTATTTTAATTTAAAAAATGGTTCTGAATCTCTTTGCCAGCATTATATATATAGTCATTATATTACATATTAGTTTGGTAAGTGAAAAAATATGATATTCCTTTTGTGATAAAATGCAGCTTAAATTTGGGGCAGGTTATCAGAAAAGAGCAAATTATATTTGTTAATGAACGGTTTATTCTTTACAATCCAATTTGATCAACTGAAACCATGTCTTAATTTGGGTGGAATCTGGTCAAATTACAACAGGAAATCAAAATAGGACAATGACAAAACAAAGTCTTTACTTCCAAAATCAACATTGCAAAGGTTTTCCTGGTGAATTCATGGGGAAAATCAGACACAAGCCATGAAATTCTCATTATGAGCATTAGTACGATAGGGCAGGGTGCCCTCCTGAGAGGTGGAAAAGCAGACACCAGTCCATCCTCTTTCTGTTTTGTGGCAGAGCTTCACAGGAGGCTGTGAAGTTGTTCTGAATCTCTCCTGTTTGAAACTGCCACGCTTGCTATAAAACATAATACATATTTAATGAGGAATAGGAATCGTAGTAGGAAATTTGCAGACGAGCAAGCTATAAGTGGTATTAAATTCTTCCAGAGGGATTTGAGAGAGACGTACCTAAATATTTAGTACACCCATAGTAAAAAATTTGCAGGAGTTTGGGAGAAATGCCTTAAATGTCTACTCCAATCAGTGGAGAGAGAGTTGTGGAGGTGTCCTGCCAACCCCTTTTTTCTTCTTTTACTTTTTTTACCTGTTCCAAATTATCCTTACAGGCCCAGCCTTTTGCTTTCATTCAAAAGCCCAGAAACATCATCTTTTTAATTGATTTAATAACCTAAACCAGTTCATTTGTATGTTGCCAGAAAAATCCACAGTGGGAGGTTAAGTTTATTCCTCCATCTGAATACTCACCCTGAACAGCAGCTCCTGGGCAAACCGGGCAAAGCAGTCAGCCCCTACAGCTGGGCTTGTAGTGGTCAAATTTTTTATTAACAAATATTAATAATGACTAGATAAGGAGAAATTGAGATCTTCTCCAAAATATTCTGTGCATGGAACAAATTACTAACTGTAAACTATTCTTTCTACCTTGAGCACAAACATAGATAGATGGAAGCATCTGGTTTATTTGCATGATCTGTCATTTTACGACTGAGAGTTGCATATTCACTTCTTGAGTTTGAAAGGGTTGCTAAGGTTCTCTCCAGTTTTAAAACAATTCTGCTTTTCCAGATGTGCGTCAGGCAGTGGATTGTACGGAGCCTTTCAAGAAAATACAAGATTTGAATTTCAAATAGACTGAAGGCTCTTAGCACAGTCCATTATCAGCAAAATTATCAGTCAACTCAGCACATTTCATCACAGTCAGTAATCTCTTCTGATGTGAACACTTGAGTTAAAAATATTTCCAGTAAAGACTTGTAAGTGCAAAGATGTAACAACTGAAACGCTGCTATATATGGTATAATTAAGCACTTGTTTTTCTGCACATGACATGTTTTCATTCTGTATTGGAACTTCAATTGGATCTAAATTACTCTGGATCAAACAAAAATGTGTTCAAAATGAAAAAGATGGCTCGCCACTATTATTAAATCATTAACCAAACAGAAAAATTCTGGGCTATGAAGTAAAACTGAAATCACCAGCCAAAAACTAGAACACTAATGCTTAAGTATATAGCTAGCATGCACAGTGTTTATCTTTAATTACATTTTTAAAACCATTAAATTAGATTTCCTTCCTGATAAAAATCATTAGCTTCCATAATTTCTGCTCAGCATCAACCAAAAGAGATTATTTGGACATTGATGGTTAACTTCCTAACTGGAAGCAATTTTAAAAATATCTGTGATCTAATGGTACATTTATTTATATAATCTCAGTTCCACAATATTGTTTTGGCACTTTTCTTCCGACCCCACCTGCCCTTTGACTCAAGTATGAAATGGTATTTCTTTAAAGCTAACTTGTATTATTTCATAATCATGCTGACAGTGTGCTCTGGAAAGCATCTGAAGAACGCCAGCCTTGCATTCCTTAGGCAGCAGAGCCACCAGCTAAGGCTTCCTCTGGCAATGTGGAATGCACACTGCCTTTAGTCAGAATTAACTGTAGGTGAATTTGCATTTCAGCAGGGACACTTTTGTGAGCTTTCCACTGACTTAAATAAACTAACAAAAATTCCAAAGAGGTCAATTAGGATTTTTTTCATCTACACAAGAAATAGATAAAGATGAGCCACAGGCCTTGTCTGTCAAAAGGAAGAATTTCTCATCACTAGTATCCTTGAACCTGATTTGATCCACTCAGCCCCTGTTGCAGTAAATCTGTACAGCATCAGCAGGTGCAACCATTAACAGCTCAATGTCCTCTTAGACAATGTTTGTGTGTTCTATTTATTCCAATCACAGTCATGGCACTGAATCAGGCAGCACTATGGACAGATATTAAAAAATACTGCCTTTCCATTAATTTTAAATGACCTTTTAATCTACATTTAAATTTGAATCGAATGAAAATGCATCATGTTGTCGTAGACCATGAAAGAAAGGACTTAAAGAGATTGCAGAGCAAAGGTTAGCCTTTAGTGTCCAGAAACTACTTTACAAAAAAGCAATGTGCTTGTAAAGATGCAAGGATAAGGCAGAAATTATCTCCCCTTGTCATAAAAATATAGACAGCTTTTGGAAAACAAAGAAAAGGCATCAAATTAATGCTCAAACCTCTCTTAACATGAGCCTGAACCTCTCTTCCTGTCACTTGTGATGAATATGCTCTTGTGAAAAGCCAGATTATTCAGAATTAGACATCTTTTCAAACTTTTGTGGTGCAGGCAGGTCTCTAAGGGAACAGTAAAAGTAGACCTCTGCATATAACAACAGTTTTAATGGCAAAAATTCATCAAAGTCTGTCAGGAGATATTTAATGTGTCAGTTAAGATAAGGAATAATGATGCTGGGGAACGCCACGATCTCCTAGTATAAGAGGAATTCTGTTGTTCACTAATGTTAAAGGATGCAAACTGCCTTCTATCTGCAATGGGATGAAGAGGGGTATCAACAGGATTCCTGACATATGAAAAGAATTCATGTTTGTAGATGGACTAAGGTAAACTTCAAGGGAGGACAAATTACAAACCTGAAATTATGAAATGGAAAGCATTAAAACAGAGCTTTTCCTTTCCTAAACACTCTTCTCTACCTGCATATTTCCATGGGTATTTTCACACCTAACCACACTGAGAAATTCTTAGAACACAGAGGGACTAAAAGGCTATGTGTTGTAGCTGTTCTGAACCAACAGTACCCCAGTAAGTTCAAGCAACTGTGTTGATTTAATTGAGCTAAGGACAAATCCCCGAATTACCTGCTTAAGATAATACTGAAGACTGGTGAGAATTGAACCTCATCTTTCTGCATCCCAATTCACTGCTTTAATTGCAAACCAATTCTTTCTTCACAATGTTTTTCTGCAGTCCTGTCTTAGCTCTAGCAAACTGAGCAGCTTCTTTTCTCACAGACCCTGTTCTAAGTGGGTTTGTCCCTTTGTTAATGAACCTCCAAAAAGCAAGCAAAAGGCAAACTAGACTTTGATGGCCTTTTTGACACTATAGACAATTGCAGAGACCCTCTTTCATTGTATTTTCTGTAGAAACCAGTCAATTTCCTTCTATGAATTATGTGATTTCATATGTCTTCATTTACACTGCTTTTAAAATACTTTTGACAGGAAAAAAACAATAGGAATTTCTATAACTCACCATCAGTAACCTCCAGCTGAGCCTTTGCTAAAATGCTTCCAGCTACTGTCAGTGCTTGACAAATGTAGTAGCCTGCATCAGACCGCTGAATGTTGGTAATAGTGAGGTCTCCGGTTGGTGACACTGAATACCTGCTGTTGGGTTGGAGAGGCTGGTTTGGGAAGAGTAGATTCTGCAACGACAGTTCATCTTACATCAGTTCAGAACACAAAAGCACCACTTTTCCCACAGAGAGAGAGACAATGACTTTTCCTTAAAAGCACTATACATAAACTAGAGGAAAAAGTAAGTGTGGTTATGTCTTTATGAACACACAGAGCTAGCTTTCCCTGCCTTGGGCAACTTGCATTCTAAATTAGAAACAGCCTTTGACAGCACACAGTGGTGTGTTCTGGCTGGGGGTATGGGCAAGGAGAAATTTTCCAACAATCACGCTTGACAGATTTGTATTTGTGACACATTCATCTTCATTGTGAATGTAATTGTAATAATACACTTAGTTGGCCATCAAAACCAGGAGAGCACGATACTACAAGAAACATTAGACAACTAGCAGAAAGGATTGAATCCTGGAGACTTGAGGGAGCACAACACTATCATTTAGTTGTGAATATGTCCTGGGCAAAGGAGAAAGTAAGACTGTAGCACAGAAAGAAAGCTGGGAGAAAGATACAAACAGGTCATAAAGTATGAAGAGCTGGCAGAGCACGAGAGCTTAAAGGAGAAGTAGAAGGAAATTAAAAGTGAGATATACCAAAGGACAAAAGCAGCGTTGGAGCCTTAAGGATGAAGAGAAATGGTATTAATCTGATGTTGAAATCATCAGAGAGAAAAAATGATTTCATGTAGGGTAAGATATCAGCACAAAACAGAGAGATTAGCTTTTGCCTTTGGGCTGGATTGGAGAAAAGAGAGATGTCAATAACTGGAATGGATGTAGCAGTTATTGCATATGATGGACTGAATGAATCAATAATACAGAAAAGGACTGAAAAGGCTTTAGTGGCAAGGGCTGTGTTTTCAAGGAAAAAGTTGTACTTTTTGGCACAGCTCTTGCTGTGAATAACAAAGAACAGGAAAAGGGAGGCAATGCGAGTAGAAAGGTCAGCAGCATTGCCCAATAAGACAGAAAAGGGGAGAAATTAAACAGTAATTAAACAATAGTAATTCCAAGAAGATAGGGTCCGTCTGTTATGTCAGCTCTAAGAAAAATACAGGAATACCCTAAAACACTGTTACCATGCTGTGATAAGCTTTCAGTCAATACTGCGGCTATGTATAGCTCTGCTGTGCCTTCTAATAACAAGTTCCTACTAACTTTAAAGCTTGACTATATGGGCTAAAAAGAAAATCTAAAAGTATAGAGTAGGGTATCAAAGGAATTTTCTGTAGAGCTGCTTCTTCTGCAGTAGACCTTAATGGTTTACAAAAATTATTTGGAACAGACAAGCAACGAACTTGGATATAAAAAAATTCGGCTTTGAAGTGGAACTCACATCTTCTCTCTAAGTTTGGCAGTAAAAGGAGAGAGAGATGCTTTATATAAGGTCCGACACTCCAAATATCCCTATAATTGTATTACCTATGAGGCTACTTTTCAACCTCGGGTGAGTCTTTCTCCTTACCCCCTCACCTTGTCAATGTTCAAGAAATTTTTCACAGCAAATTTTCACTCAAAAACCAATATGCACATGTCAGAATCCTCCTTACCACTGCATTAGAAAGGGCAGTTACCCTTCTTTCTATCTTCAGCATGGACTTGCTCTGGAAAGGTACCACCTCCCAGTAAATATTCCACACATCAGGAGGAGTTAACCAGTCTCACGACTCCTCTCTTCAAAGACCAGATATCTCTGCATTGTAACTGGTCCTCAACTACAGTTCAACCCCTTTTAAAGCGTTTTTACAATTTCACTGGTTTTAATTAGCTGCCAGGCACAGTGGTGAAACACCGGGTTGCAAACAGGGGGACCAGAGTCATCCCTGATATAACAGCATTGGATTTATCTCAAGGAAAACATTAATCCAGATAGTTTAAAGGTTACACATGCCCTGCCCTGGTACATTTCACTGGCAGGCAGCTGCTGGGCTCCGGCAGTTTAAAGGTTACACATGCCCTGCCCTGGTGCATTTCACTGGCAGGCAGCTGCTGGGCTCCGGGGAAAAGGCCACCGATTACAAAGGACCAGCTGTTTATGCACAGGCTCGCACAAAAAATGACTCAGGAGGGAACAGCTCCCCTCCCTTCCAGCTGGTTGTGCTTAGAAACACAGGATTGAGAACTGGATTCATAATGAAAGATGCCCTGCAATTATTGGAGAGGGCGAACACAACTACATAACGTTACTCTGGATACTGTTAGTAACAGCGGTGCTGCAAATGGTTTCTCGAGTGAAAGCAGAAGCTAGTATAAAACCAAGCAACAGCTTATAGCCGGGCATGCAAAGGTGAAAAGTCAGGTAATGTGGCCAACATACCTTCCTTTGGGTTTGTATGATGACACACAGTATGTGAAACTCACCTATTTTATGGCATGCCATTGCAAAATCTGGCAAGCTGTATATTGAGAAGGTAACACTAACCTGTGATGCTCCACTGATGCTCAATTAACAAGAGGGTGCAGTGAATCACATTGAGCTGTGTCTCAAAGTTTGATTATAAACCATGTAGGTATCAATTTTTATGTTGCATTTATTTGCCAAAAAGACCATTCTAACCCTCAGGGATCCGGTTCTCAATATGGTAATTAATTTTCCAGGTTTGTAATTAAACAGCTTCAACGTGGTACAATCAGTAGGTAATAACATTCAATTAAACACACAAGATGCATTTTCACCTTAAAATGTTTTTACCCTTGAAGTGCTACCAATAGAAGAGGATAAAATAGAGTATTAACACTTTTCAATTATGCTAAATGACTTTAATCCTGCAAATGATGTCCTACTTTAATTAGAAGCTCTTCTCTTTATTACAGCATGATGGATGTCCACTTTATTAGATTTAAGTGTGACACTATAAGCTCACTTTACATAAACATTACCATGTTATTAAAATGCTCTACAGGGAATGGTTTTGAAATGTTTGCTAGCACATCAGTACTTCCTACTTTAATTTCACTGTGCTATTCTACTTTCCCCTTGGAACAATTTTCACCTTAGTGAGACTCACAATACTGTGCTTTTTCAGGATGTGATCCATGGAGGCTAGGTCCAAAGTTCTCCAAACAACACACTGAAGGATACACACTGAAGACTAAGTTTACAGTCATATGAGGTTACACCCATAAAGTAATAGTCTTCTATCTTTGTAAGCCACAAATGTCAGAGCACAAAATGCTGTCAGCTTTGGTCCTGTCATTCTGGACCAGTCATCTGACCTGGTGAGAAGGTGAAGCAGAAACAGACAGGGCAGCGTGGGGGATCTGTGGCTCAGTTCTTACCTCACATTTTAACTGAGCTGCTACACACAGCGCCTCCAGATTAGACAAAAGGCACCTCTGCACTGTGTGGCACAGCGTGGCTCTGGAAAGATTAATTTAGCTAATGGAGAAGGGTACATAGTATAGATACACAGACAGACGTAGCTATGTCAGTCTTCATCAGGGAGCTGCAGAAGGCACTGCCCCTTTTAATCTTTTCTCAGGTGCAAAAGAGAACACAGCACATAGTTTAAAGTGTTCCCATTTAACATACTAACATGAGCTGCATGTTCAAAGTGAGAAGGACTTTCTTCTGCTCTAACATCTTGCCAATACAGCAACAGCAGTAAAAAAACATTAAGGCAAGCTACAGAAGTTAGTATTGGCTGATGGCAACGCTGATTACTGCATCAGAAATTTTGCTTTCAGAAAATGACAGTAAGGATCAAGGAAATTGTTCCAAAACCAGATTCGGAAATTTCCTGAGACAATTTTACTAGGAAAGCATCTGACTGTTCAAAACCTGTATCTGTATGCACTATGAGAATATGCCAATGCAAATCAGCTTGCTAGATATATATCTGCTTGATCATGTCTAGACAGGTTGTGAACTGTAATTACTGACTCTGATTAGTTAAAAACTGAGTCATACCTTTTTTTATCTACTATGCTTGTCTCACCCACCTGTTTGTTGGGGGTTTCAGAATGAAAAGTCTTTAAGATATATACTGTTGCTTTCTATACATTCATACAGCACAAGTTTTACTAACTTAAAGGGCCATTGAGCCTTTCACAATATTAATATTTCTAAACAACAGCAATAAAAATGTCACTAGAGAATAGTGACAGTTTAAAAGACAAGTTCCCGTGAAAGATTAAAAGAATCTGTGAAGGCAATATAAAAAATTTTCTTACAAATTTAAGACTATAACTACTTAGAAAGGATTGAAAGAATGTAAAGGTGCTTATAACTTACCTGACTTCCCTCCTTTTGCCAGAAAACAGCTGGCTGGGGATTTCCCTTAGTTTCACAAGGAAAAGTCACTGTTCGACCCTGGGCTACAATCTGGTCTCGTGGCCTTACCACAAACTGTGGGGGAGCTAGAAAGTAAGAAAAACCATGGTGTAAATTTCAGATATTTTGCAAGGGGGAGATGAAGAATATTGAAGGAAAGAGACAACATTATGAAGATTTGGTTTATGCCAGAGGACATGACACCAGAAACATTAATTAGTATAGACAGAACTAATATAGAAACAAAAACAACAGCAGCAACAGAAAGAGCAGCAATCTCAGTATGTGATACCCCCAGCAGTAAAAACAAAAGAAAGAAAGAAACATTACAACCATACATGCTACAGTAAATTCTGATGACAATAAATGCTAAGGAGCAGCAGTCAGGTGTTTATGATGCCAGCTCTGGATGTATTTTACCTTTCGTCTGGGCAGCACTCTCATACACACCTTCTACGCTTCACTGAGCTTGTTATTCTGCTAGAGCTACTGCGTATTGCAATACCTGAACTAGGATATACAGACTGCCCTTTGCAGTCTGCCCCTCTACACTTTTAAAGAGGAAGGTCTGGATGACAGCAGAAGGACAGAAGTTCAAGAGCTCCCTCACTTCTCTTAGGGGTAAGTGAGGTCAAGAATGAAGTAGAAGGAGAACTTGCTGTACAAAGAGAAGGTGCTAAAACAACACCTATTTGGGAGATAGGGATTTCAGCTTGTGCAGAGACAAGAAAGAAGCAGGAGTTGAAGAGTCAGTGGGCAGCAGTGAGTGGTGAATAAGAAGGAATGGGTATTCCAGGAGATCAGGAAGAGACAAGGAAATGTAAAAAGGAGAAAGAAGAACCAGAACTGGCTATGTTTTCAAGTAGATGGCATTAACGGTGTTCAGATGTAGGGAACCAGCACAGTCAGAAGTGAACAGTTTCTAAAAGAGACATGTAGCTTGTCTTGTCTGGAAGTAGTGATGGAGAACAGAGTCAGTGCTTGGTGGGAACAAGAAGGGAGAGAAAAGGCATTAATGTGCAGAAGAAAAGTGAGAAGAAGCAGTGTTGGAAGATTTGAGAGAAAAGAACTGACATCAGTGACTATGCTGTGCATGATACGATAAAACAAATGACTTTTCTATGCATGACATGCAAACCCTCCAGTCTTGGTTCAATACTGCAATTCACTGGAACTAATTCAAAAGACTAACTAACTGTCGGAAAAAAGAGAACAAAAACAAAACCCCCCAAACCAAACCAAACCGCCACATTCCTTTTCTTCTATTCCAATACTGGTTTGGTGGTTGTGGAGAGGGATGCTTCAGGAACACTAAGCTTTTAGGTAAACAGAATTTAAGTGTTTTAGAAAACCATATTTTCACCATTATAATTACAAACTATTTAATTAGGCGCGAAGAGCAATCAAGACCCCGCTTCCGATTACACCTGCTGACAGCACAGACGCAAACCTGCTAACTGCAGAGAAATGTATGTGGATCTGAGGTTTTGAAATACACTTTGCAGTTCCCAAGGCTTTACAGATCAGCAGGAGTCTAGAGAGCACCAGTTGAATAGCAGTGGTATAATGTACCCTTAAAACGAGAACTGTGAAGCACTTAACAAACATGAAACACCATCAATTCCGAAGGCAGAGGGTGAGGACAACATGAGATGTCTTCTTTCTGCCTCACACTTCTAAACACAGGTTTTGGCCTCTCTGGAGAGAGAAGTGTCCACCCCTTCCCCAGGCCTCAGCAGGTAGTTAGTCTTGTGAAAGGGATGCAGGGCTAGGTACCCTGCTGCTGCCCATTTATATCCACATGTTTTGAGGTTTCTGTAAGAGCAGAGGTGTTGCTACACATAACCTAGGATCCTAACTCATGCTGTACTCATGTAACATGTAACTCATATTCCTAAAGTGCTGGCCTGCAACGAGTCACTTGTTCTCCCCTCACCATGTTTTACCTAGCATATCTGTATGCAGTCCCTACAAGTGTCAGAAAACTGCAGTGTGGTAATTAGCACATGTTTGTTCATTCAGTCATACAGGAAAAAACCTTTGGATTGTGAATTAGAAAGCCTACTTTACACTTAGGTATCTCTACAGTTCTGACCACCCACTTAATAAAGGTCACTGAATTTGTTCGCTGTTTGATGCTCAGCCATAGAAGCTCATTGTCCTGGATATTAATACAGAATCAATAGGAACCTCGGGCAGAGCAGAGAACAGAAAACCTCTAACCTCTTCAGGTGTTACATCTGCATTCGACAGGAACTACGCATGGGTCCTATGTCTATCTGCTTTATGCGTGGCCTGAAGAACATAAACCTTCTATTGCGATGCTAAAAACCAGGTGTCAGAAGACCACCCTATGGATCATGAGGAAGCATGATCAATGCCTAAGATCCCTTTGTAGGCATGCTTCGTGCACTGGGAGCAGGTTACGCAGGCAGTGCTCCGAGACAGTTCAACAGAAGCAAGAAGGGCAAATCATGTAAGCAAGCAAATGTAAAGTAGGCAAGTTTAAGGGTTCATTGGAAACATTCTCACACAGAGAGGGCTGTGCTGTAAGGCAACAATCCAAAGCTCTGAGCAGATGTAACAGAACTGAACTTGCTGCTGTAGCAGACTTCCCAAGGAGCAAATTAAGGTAATTTGGTAGTCAAGGAACAGTAAATAAAAGCATCCTGGTTTCTACCTAGTTTCTAATTCTTGACCTACCCCCTACTTCGAACATCTCTCACTTTCCTGAGAGCAGATAAAGGATTATTTCTTTTGCAAAAAGAGGCAAGCAAAAGAAGCAGGAATTAAGGCTGTAGCTCAGTCCAGATAATCTAAATGACATGGATTGACCCTGTTGCTGTTGTCCCCTTGCCACACAGCAAGTCCTGTTCAGCATTGCCGTACTAGGTGACCAGAAGATCTGTAGCCTCATAACATTCAAAAAATGTGTTCACTGTATCAGTTTTATATCAATTTCTAGTTGAATAATGCAAATTGAAAGCTGAAAGTAACAGTTAATTATCACAGGAGTAATTCCTGGTCAGCAGCCCGAGACAGCCAAGCAGTGAGACACCCATTATCTCCAGAGAATGCAACAAGACCCTGCTCAGACAGCAAGAATTCTTTGACAGACTAAGCACTTGGGCTCTCCAATTTTCCCAAAAAGAGAGTTCATTATCTTCATATATAGATGCTGGTTTTAAAGATAGATAAATATTATCACTCCCATTTTGCAGAAGGGTTAACTGAGATCATGACTTGCTTAAAGCACAGATGCATTTGAACGTTGCACAAAACCTAATTCAAGCCATTATTGCTTCTCTCAAATTAGGTGGAGTTTTAGAATGTTTTGAAAAGGTACAGTTAAGAGAAGTAACAGCAGGCTTGATATGCTTCAGCTGTTAAAGTTATGTGGTACTTTAATGCTTAATTCAAGCTAAACATTAAGGTCATTAGAAGAATCTGCTGAAAAAACTGTTATGAAGAAGCAGACTGAGTGTTGTGTGTATCAGAATTATTATCCTTCACTGTTTCAGATGTAACATTAACTGGATTGGAATAAACAGAATGGAAAAGCTCTTGCTTAATTGACATTTGAAAGACAAAGACAACAGCTCTAAATGGAAATATACTGCTTAGATTCCAGGGGACCAGCCAAAAATATGGAAAAAGAACAGTTAAGACTATAGTGTACTTCTATTGAAACAGCTTTTTTCTCTTTTTTTTTTTTTTTTGAGAAATGTAAATAGTACACAGTAAATTAGATTTGATTTCTGGCAAATTATGCTTTGATACTACATTCAGCAAGCGCTGGTTTCAATCAATGTCACACTAAAGCTCTGTTATGCTAATAGTCGCTTGTGAGGCTGAGCGGGACGATATGGAAATCAGATGGTAGAACATGAATAGAAAGCATAGGCCATGTGCAAGAGGGCTTTGAGATGAGGGGATGGGGGGACCCTAAGGTTAATCATATCATGTTCAGAACTGGTTTTACAGCACAGAACAGTATTCCACTGCAACAATTAAAATGGAGATAGAAAAGCATGAGCAGTAGTGATCATTAGTTATGTTATTCAAAACGGGACGAGTGCATTCCGTTGAGGTCTTTCTAGATGATTTTTTATGCGTGACTGAATGGATCTTTTATTCCATTAATAAATGTACATGAAGGTAGACTCTGCTCAAGTGTTAAAGAGCTTTGGGGGGAAAAAAAGAAGGAACAAATATGGCAAATAATTTCAAAGGGATTTCTTAACTCTTCTCCTATCTTAATAGTTAGCAGAATCTCGAATCTGATGGGATGGATTTCATTAATTTCTTTTCCAGCAGTGTTGCTGAATACTAAAGGTTACGCTGAGTCACCGGGAGCTGATAAAGCTGCTTGCTAGACTGAAACAGTGAGTTCATCCCTCCTACGTGAACTCTGGTGACCTGATAAGAAATGTGGCAGAAAACGCAGTAGGGGAGGGGAAAATTACCACAGAAAAATGTGAATTTATAGCAAAAAGTACACTGATTCCGTACCAAGGACAAGCAACGTTTTCGTCCAGTGACACAGCTTTTTAAGTTGATCTTGTGATTTGTCATTTACATTGATTTCAATGATCCTAAAGGAATTTTATTATCATGACTTGCTCACAGCTCCTCCCCCAGCCCAGGTGTCCTGGGGTTCATACATTGTATTGCTATGATTTTAATTAAAAGTAGATATTGTAGCAAGGTTTAGTCCAATATTGCTACCGCAAGCAGAAATGGAATTGTAACCCCAGCAACCAATACCAGTGGGGTTTTGTGTGTCGTTGGTTACATTGGTCTGGGAGGTCTGGGAGATACTGGAAGTTTGGATGCTTTTGTGATACAAACGTAAAAGAAATATGTAAGTCCCTACTTACACACCTTGCTGTAACACTGCTATTTGCATGGCATGATCTGCCCAAAAGTGCAGTTATGGAAGTCTGTGAGTTTTGAAAGGCGTTTTGCAAGGCTACTATTGCTGATGGAGTAAATGGAAGAAAACAGAAAATATGCCCAGTCTCAAACACCAGAAACCCAGGCTGAGCCAGCACTTATTTCCTCAGGAGTATCTAATGGGTACCAA